AGGAATTTATGAAGGTTTGTGACTGGTTCATTTATTGTTGTGTCTGTGTGGATGACCAGCATGCAGACTCTTGGGCTGTGCTCCAAATAATGATTTCCTTCTTGTCTATTGTATAGCTTGGGGTGGAATTCAGAAATGACCCTGGTCTCTTGGGAGACATTGGTAAAGGGTGACAAAGCCAGTTAATTCCTCCATGAGAGATAGAAATCAGGAAAAAAGCATGCAAGTTGGACAGCCTGTTGTTTGTCACCAGTACAGAAGAGCAACTAGACCTGAGTTAAGGACCATGGAGGTGAGAACAGAGATCAGAGCCTCAGCTGGAGACTGTATTCCTACAGTCCTTGTCCTCCCCTCCCACTTTCCTGGATCTTTTTCTCATCCAGTCACTGGCACATTTGGGAACATCGTGATGCTAATTGAAATCAGGTTCAGATTCAATCCTGTGAACCAGCTGGTTTTATTATACCAAAGAAAGCTCTGTTCTGTGGGCACTGCAACTCTAGGCAGTGCTCCTGTAATGACTCTGCTTTGTTAGATTTGATGAGCAAGAAAATATGAACCATCAGTTTTAAAAAAATAAATAGAAGCTTAAAAGAAAATGTAGGAGAAAGTAGAATGGTAATAAAATTTCCTAGATACCTGCCATATGGAAACTATCATCCCACTTATAGCAAACACTTGACATAGGGACATTCTCTGTGGAGCTTTCAATTATTCTCTTCCCAAGTCCATGACGGGGCCATTCAGGGCTCTCTCTCTCTCTCTCTCTCTCTCTCTCTCTCTCTCTCTCTCTGTCTTTTGCTTTTTGGGTCACATCCGGTAATGCACAGGGGTTACTCCTGGCTCTGACTCAGGAATTACTCCTGGCCATGCTCAGGGGACCATATGGGATGCTGGGAATCGAGCCCTGGGTCGGCTGTGTGCAAGGCAAATGCCCTACCCACTGTGCTATCGCTCAAGCCTCTCAGGACTCTCTTGAGAGACTTACCTCACACCCTAATCTTCTCCTGTAGAGCCCATGTACCACATTGAACATGCATCCTAGTCATCATCTGAAAGATGTTACACACCTAAATTTCCTGACTCATTCCGCAATCCCTTTGTTCATCTTATCTTTCTTACTAAGATACACAACAGCATGGGGGGTAGGTCAAACGTAGTTTGTTCATTCTTTTTTTTCTTGTTTTTTTTTTCCCCTTGGGTTTTTTGAGCCACACCCAGGGGTGCTTAGAGAATATTCCTGACTGTGTGCTCAAGGATTGGGGCTGTCAGCATTTGGGAGACTGGGATTTGAATCAGGGTTGAGACCACAGTTGCATCTTAACCTTTGTGCATGCTCTTAGGCCACAGAGGTAGTTCATAACCCTAACTTAATCATTGGTCAGCTTTAAGAATTAAAAACATTTCCCAGAAGTTCTCTGGGGGACCATTCCCAGATCTCTTGCGTACAAAACATAGGTTCCAGCCCCTTGAGCCTTCTCCCTTTCCCCAGAAGTTCTAATTCTGGGCATCATTCTTCTTAAAGCTCCCAGCAGATGATAACAGGTAGTTAGGATGGAAAAATATCAGTGTAGTTTATAGGTCTAATAGTACTAGCAGTATCCCTGTCTCAAGGGAAATACAAGCTGCAGGATTTGAAATGGAAATAGGTATTTCGAATAGCAAATAGCTGTCCTTTGCCACTCAAGTTCCAAGGGCACGCCCATCCCTCTGAGTTCTCTTTCTGTCTCATTTATTAAGCTTGTTTTCTGTTAAGCACCCGCATTCAAAACTGAGCAGAACAGAGCTTTCATTTATTTGCTTTAGGATTTCTGTGGTCTCGGTTTGCCCACTGTCTTTGCAGTTAAGCCTCCTTTGAGCCTCCTCATGAACCCAGATGCAGAGTTGTGACCAGGCTCTTTGATCCAGTGTTCCGCCTTAGGGCCTCCCATTCTGGGGGCAGTGTTCAGTGCTACTTAGCCTCTCACTGGGTTGGGTTTGAGGGGTGGTGGTAGTGCAAGGGCCGGACTGTCACATGGCCGAATAGTCTGAGGGATAAACCGTTTTGAAGTCTGTTCTCCATTGAGATTGCTGACTTGAATGAAAATCCTAAAATAATTCTCCAAAGCACTTTACTTTTTTTCTTTAAATTTGGTTTTTTTTTTTTTGAGAACCAATTGGAAATTAGATCTTAAGATAAAAAGTTCTAGTGATAAGAAATTGAAGGTTATGATTTAGCTAGTGCCTAAACTCTTTTGTTTTCAATACCATAAAATTTTCTCCAAAATTACTTTGTTATCTTTTGCGCTTTACATGACAGGTATTTTGTGGCATAATGCTTGTTTTTCAGTGCTTTCTTGAATCTAATATTTGGATTGTGCTTTGAAACAGCCTTTGATCACAGGAATATAGAAACCAAAAAAAAAAAGAGAAAAAATGTCATCTTAGTATGTAATTTATTGTGAAGGACAAAAACTGAACATTCAAGGCGCGGTTTCTCAAGTCTGTAAGGGAGCAATGTAGCTGTAGTTATAAGTAACTCTTAAACACCACTCAGAGTTCCTCTGGTCTCTTTGACCTTTTATTTTCCTTTCCATAATTACAGAATATGGCCCTTAAAACCATATATGACCAAATAGACACCCTGAAGTCTGTGATCTCCCCACCACAAATGCAGGCTATAGAGGGAGTCCTCCTTGCAGGGTGCTGCCTCCCTGTGGGACCTTGTAACCTGTAATTTATGGTGATGCCTTTGTAATCTTAAACTCAGAATTGACTTTCCCCCCTTTCTTTACTAAGGTGGTAAAACAAATGTGTTTGCTGTCGGTGGTGAAGAGGCAGAAAGAAAATGCATTTGTGGGGCCAAAAATACGTGTATAGTGGGTAGGTTGCTTGCCTTACATGCACTCCGCCTGGGCTTAATCCTAGAGACCCCATTTGTTTTCCCGAGCCCACCCAGGAGACCAGAGCCAAAAGTAAGCCCTGAACACTGCTGAGTGTGACCAGAAACCAAGAGAAGAAAAATGTGTGCGTGTGCCTAGTCTGTTTCACAGTTTATTGTTATTTTGTTTGGGCCACACCCAGCTGCACTCAGGGATCACTCCTGGCAGTGCTCGGGGGCCATATGTGGTGCCAGGGATCGAATCTGAGTTGACCACGTGCAAGGCAAGCACTTTACCCACTGTACTATCCTTCTTCCCTACAGATCTAGTTTTACGGGTTTGAGTGTCTCCGTGGGTAGTCTGGACAGGGCTCTCTCTCCCTGACGGCAGACCTGCTGTTGGCTGTGATGGATACTGTGTGTCTGCTCATCTGTCGGCTGTGGTTGGGATAAATGAGAAGCCGGCCTTTTCTGCTGAGGTGTGTGCTTAATGAAAGGAATTTGGCTAAGTGCTTGCAGCAGCTGGGAGATGGATTCCTTCCCTGGAGGCCAGGGCCCTGTGCAAAGAAGCAGGTGATCCCTTTTCTAAGTGAATCCTAGGAGGACGTTTGAGCTGCTGTTCACCAGGTGGTGCTGTCCTGCAGTGAATGCTTAAACCTTGCCAGTGAGGCTGCAGCCGAGGCTACTCGGAACCCTTGGCAGCATTTGTGGGGCTGTTGCTGAACACGAGATGAGGCATTTTGAGGAGACATATATGACACGGGGTGCTTACCCCCCATCCCCACCCCTATTCCATGTAGGTGTCTCCTTGGATTTACCCTGCAAACTCCCGGCTGTCTCTGAAGCTGGGGAAGGCAGAACAGCTTTCCTGCCTCAGTCCTTGGTTTCCTCCCAGAGAACATCTCCTGCCCTCCGTTCTCATCTTTGATGTCCTAGTGGGTGGGGGGGCGGGCATGTCTTCCAGAGCTCCTCATTAAACAGACTTAAAGGGGAGACAAAGCCTCCACCCAGCCTCTGCATGCACCAACCTATTTCACTCCAGTGCCCTGCCAGAATGGTTTTGCTGGGCCAAACGTGACTCCACATGATTCCGTCCTTTCTGGCAGTGCTGCTGGGAGGAGATTGACTTGGGCGAGAGCCTGGTTGGTTGTCCATGTGTGTAAGGAGAGAGGGAGGGAGGGAGGGAGGGAGGGAGAGAGAGAGAGAGAGAGAGAGAGAGAGAGAGAGAGAGAGAGAGAGAGAGAGAGAGAGAGAGATCTCAGGGAGAAAAAAAAAGAACGTTTTTTAGGGCTGGTGCATCAGTAAAAAGATTATTTCCCAGGGAAGTGGATTAGAGTCAGTCATGGGAAACCTCCTTTGGGACTCCTTCAGTCAACAAACTTGCGTTGTGCATCTGCCTCTGCTTGTGATAAGACCAGGAGGGGAGGAGGGGATGAAAGGTAAGACTAGCCCTTGAGAAATCGGGAGGAGGAGAGGTCAAGGCAGATGGAAGCAAATACTAGGACACAGGTACCAGCAGGTGTGCTGAGTGCACAGGAAGGACGGGGAGCATTCTGTGGGGGTGGGACAGGCATGCAGGTGATATTTCAGCTGTGCCTGGAGGATGACTAATTTCCAGAGTGGAAAAGAGGTGTTTCAGGGCAAGGGAACCAGAGAGCGAAGGTGTGAAATTGGGCAGTGTGTTCGGAAATGGTGAGTTGCGCTGAGGGCTGAGCCCCAGCCCGAAAGGAGGGAGGCAGGAAATTGGGGGAGGGCAGTGTCCCAGAGAACTTCAGCACCCCAAGGCTTTTTACAGAGGTTCTTGGCTCAGCCGTCTGAAGCCGTTGAAACCTTCATTGAGTTTTTGGGGCTATAGACTTTTGAGCAAGACAGAAAATTTGAGATAAGGGGTGAAGAGATAAGGCACTTTCAGTGCATTGCTCTCACTACCTCTGGGAGCCCGGACCCAGGGTGGCAGAGGCAATTAAGTCACTTGGACTTTTCTGCTTTTCCTTCAGTTTACAAGCAGGTATGAGTTGACATCTCTTGCTTCTCCTTTAGAGGTTCACTGGGGGTTGTCAGGGAGTTTGTAGCTGATTTGATCAAGTCTATATGATTCTTGTTCCACGAGAGAGTATACTGACAGTTTTCTTTCTTCCAGGTCTCTTTTCAGCTTTCTGTGGTCAACTTGTTCAGAGGAACTTCCGAACTTCCTAAGAGACCCCGAGAGAGAGAGTTTTTTTTTTTTTTACTGCAAGCAATTGGATTCTGGGGTGAGGCCAGGTAAGTGAAACCCAGGGAGAATTCATGCACTGACAGATTCAGTTTTCCAAGACAAATTGTTCTCTGAAAACACTGAGAGCTTTTAAAATGGGATTTTCCTTAGAGAAATGTGAGAGTAATTAAAAAGTTTCAATCACTGTGTTAAAGTGCTCCCATTATTAATGTTACAGATGCTTCAGAGTATATTTTTTCAAAAGCTTTATATTTTTTTGTTCATTGATTGTTATAGTGTCTTAACATTAATGCAGGTATTTGATACATATATATTTAATGAATTTCTTACTGCTTTTAGTTTGCATATAAAAATAACTGATTAAAAAGATTGAGATTTTTTATGTCAGACTGGCTATATAGTCTTTGTCATTATTGTTCTCCTTTCCCCCTTAAAAGAGTAGAGTTTAATTGCATATCTCCTTTTAGTACCGGGAGGGGCACGTTTGTAACTTTTCTTACTGACTGCATTTCCCAGGTTGACTTTGGAGGCTCCTGTTGTTCTGTCCCTGCCTGTTGTGCAGAAGGTTCTCTTATTCTGACTTGTGTAGCTCCCTTTCCCTAGGTCTCAAGAAGGATTTTCTAGTTGTGTGGCTTTAGGAACTTGAGAGTCTCTGCACTTTTCTTGTACTATGGTTTTCCTGGACATCGGTCTTAGGTATAAATTTGAAACCAGAATACCCACTTGAAGGATTTTATGTGGCTGGAGGTTCCTGCTGGATACTGTTTTTATTCTTTTCATCTTTTTATTTGCATCCTCAGTCTCCCACATGTAACGAAGAGGACTCCAGATTTCCTCTTCCCTGGAGGGAGGGAACAGGTTGAGAGCAGGCGGAGTGCTCTCTAAGCAGGCCCAGTCTGGACCGGCTGTTGAGGTTTGTGCTCAGCTGCTCACCACAGTAGAGCAGGAGTCTCCCCGGGGTGCAGTGCAGAATGTTGGTTGACACGGGCGTTTAGGGTTCAGATATGGGTCTTACAGGTTACTCCTTCTCAAGAGATGATGTACAAGGTTATAGCTGCAATGAAGGTTCCGTGAATTTTTAGAATGTTATGTCTCTTTTCCCTGCTCTTGGATGTGTGTGGCTTGCTAGCAGGATTTCACATTCTGCACTCAAACCCCTTCTGCCATACCTTGCTCTTCCTGGAAGGGCAGAGTGGCCACAGTGCCCCCTACCAAATTCCTCCAAGGGCAGAACTTTCTCAGCAGGAGCCATGGCAGAGGAGTGCACATCAGAACCTCCTGCAAAACTGTTAAAAATAAGGTTGTCAGCACTCACCCAGGTGTGCTGGATTAGAATTTGGGGGATAGAGTGGGAGGCCCTGTTTTCTGTGTGTATGTTTGAAAAGCTCCTTAGGAGGCCTGGTCTGCAACTCCTTGGAAACTTTGTATGTGGGCAAGACTTAAAAACAAAAAACTTTTCCTAGCCTAAGCAGATGTTTGGGGGAATTATTTTTGAACTCTAGTAACTAGCTTAACCAGTTTATTTTCCCAAGTGAAAGGTCCTTGTGCCTTAATTTGCATCATATATATCATTTTATAACTTTTAAAGTTGTCTGGGACAATACTGGTTGTAAATAAACAAGGAACCAGGAAAATGGCCTTGAAATTTAGCAAGGGTAATGAGAGTTTAGGCTTATTTAGAAATCTATGAAGAAATATGGTTAAAATGATTATTCCTAAAATATACACATTTGTATATTGAATCCAAAGCATTTTGGTTCATGGTAACCCATTTCTCAAAGTACCAAGCAGATGATAATTTAAGTGGATTATCCTTTGAGACTTATTAGACAGAAAACTTACTTAGTATATTAGGCAATTTTTTCTTCCAGTTTTTGTGTGGCAGAGAATTAATCTTTCTTTTCTCCCTTCCTAGGACCAATTTCAGGAAGTAGAGAGGAGCTTATTGGCAAAGATCGTGTGAAAAATATTTTGTGGTTTTTAAACACATCTCTTTGGAAAATACCTTATATAGGAAAGGAAATTTCTCTAACAGTTGTTACTTGATGATTTAATAATTTTATGGGTCTGAGAGAGAATGGTAAATTTATATTTTGAAATCAGTGTCTTAGTGTTTTGGTGGGATCATAGATGTCTTAGCTCAGTGTCATGGGAAACTATTCTTACGAAGGTCATAGATGACCTCTAATGGACGTGGTCTTCTCTGGATCTTTTAGGGTGCTGCTGATCACTCCCCACTAAGTCTTATTCTCCAGCTCCCTTTATATCATTCTTAATTTCTTTGTCTTCTTTGATTTTTTCTTGATTATGCTCCTGGGACAGCCATTCTTGGTGGGTTTCTGTTGTTTCAGCTTCTTCTGAGGACCTTAGTACTTTTGTGACAACTGCCCACAAGTTAATGACCCTCCGTATTACTGAGTTCATCCTCATCTCAGACAATCTTGGACATTTCTATTTGGATGACTCATAATGTTCTTCTTACTTGGGATATCTGAACTGAACTCATTTCCCTGCTAATTATTTCCTGCTTCCTGCACCGCCTCCCACCCCCAACTCCAGAAAGCCCCTTATCCTCCTGTTTCTGTCTGCTTTCCCCACTTTGGTCATTGGCACTATTCATGCCAGAAGTACGTGACTCATTCTTTACCTCACCCAGTCAGCCCATGTTTAATTGAGGATTAAGTCCTATCATTACAAAAAAGAAAAAGACACTTCCACTGAAATTTTATTATTATGGGCTCTAAGCATTATAATTGGGCCTATATAAGCAGATATAACACAACATAGTTGTAACCATTTCTGTAATGCTTGATGTAGTTCTGGATACTTGTCATAAGTAGTTCCTGATTTTCACAGTGATTCTGTTGTCTTTCTTCTTTAACTCAGGAACCTAAGGTTCAAAGAGATTAAGTGACAAGGATTAGCACAAGTAAAATATAATGGAGTTGGATTGGAAGCATAGGAGCTGGTCTGCCTGGCTGCAAAGTCTTCTCTAGCATATCACTGTTTTGCCCTATTTCCTTAGTGCCACTGTGCTGTGTCCAGACTTCCCGTGTGTAGTTGATTTTGCATGAACTAGAGTTCTTCTCAAATTGTGTGATATAAGTAATTTTATAGAACTTTGGGGACTTAGAGGCACCAACTCCTGAGTGGTGGCAATTTCTACTATAATTTATAATCCTCCATATCTATGGTTTCAACCAATTAATGAATTTGTGTAATTAAGTTTGTGAATGCCAAATATGTGGATAAAAATAGAAAGATGTATCATGAAGTGTGTGAGCTGAGGCACTTCAAATCCATCTTATTCATAGACTCATTCAGGTTTCTGTAGAATAGACTCAAGTAAAGACTTGGTTAATAAGGATAGTATGTATAGAAACTCTGTTATGAATATAACTGTTTAGAAAAAAAGACTATAATAATCTGCAAAAAGTGATTGCACATATTTTTTAGTATAGGTACATTAAATTTGTCTACTGAATTTATGTATATATACTTTTAAATTGATCTTGGGAGGACAGGCTGGGACATGTTTTGTGATGTATCAGGTGAACCATCCCTAGGTCACAGCAAGGGAGTTCTGTATTTGCTTCTTCATAGATCCCTCTTTGTCCTGAGAAGGAAGTGCTCTTATTTTCCATCAGTTGTTCTCTTGTTTATATTGTACTTTATTAACAACAACTTCTCTAATGAGGAGGCATCTTTTGATGACCATGTAACCAATTTGTCATCGTGGGATTTAAAAAACATCTATTTTTGTTTTCAATATTGGCTTACATATTTAGAATGATAGCATGTGCTTTATAGAGTAAGGTAGGTCTTAGGTGAGTTATTCTTAACATTTAGTTATTAGAAGCCAACATTTTCAGATTTGAAAGGGCCTAAACTTCCCACAAAGAGAGGATTTAGGAAGAGTTCATTTAAGTGAGATGGAAAGGAAGAGGGGAGAGTCTCACACTGTGGTTCTCTCTGACGTGGTGGCAGCACCTCAGATGGGGTCATTAGAAATGTTTCAGCTTGATCTCAGAACTGAAATCAGAACTAAAAAGAATATAGGCGAATGAGAAGAAATTGGGGGGAATTAGTAATTTGATAGGCTGTTAATCAGACAAGGAAGGAGGCAGGAAGATGGAAGGGTCCTTGAGTCTGATGAACTGCAAGATGATTTTTACCAGCAAAAACCTGCTACATAATATGCTGAGTGAGTTCTGGAGGGTGGGGAAGAGAAAGACGTACTTATTTTGGATCTGTTGGTTTTGTTGCCAGGGCTGATGTCAGCAAGTTGGAAATCAAGTGCCGTGCCTGTGGCCCTTTATACCAGATAATATAATGAGGAAATAGGTTTATGAATCACCTGCATGGAGGTGGCAGGGAAAGTGGGTATTGAGATGATTATTCTGAGGAAAATGGCTCAGACTAAAGAGAGTTAATTCATGACAACACACTAGAGAAGTTTTTGGTGACTCAGCCTCAACAGCAAGGGAAAAACAAAGTAAAGATAAACAATTGGGACTAAATTAAATTGGATAGCTTTTGTTTAGCAATAGAAAATATAAACAGGACAAAAATACAGCATATTGAATGTGAAATAGTTACATATAATAAAGGGTTAATATTTGAGGTATATATAGAACTTAGACAACAACAACACCCCAGTCAAGAAGTGGGCAGAATTGGAATAAGCCAGTCTTCAGAGAGGACGGCTGGCAGATGCCCATCATCACTGATTATCAGGGAAATGTAAATGAGTATCACAATGAGCTATCACTTCGTAACTCTTAAGAATGATTTACATCATAACAGCAATATCAAGTGTGGGGGGAAAGGAAATTCTTGTGCACTCTTGGTGAGAATATAAATTGGTGAAACCATTTTGGAAACAGCTATGGAGTTTTACAAATTTAAAACAGCCTTGCTATTGGCTGCCTGTCATTTCATATGATTCCATAATACCAGTTCTGGGCATCTACATAAAAAAAAAAAACATACAAAGAGAGACAGATGAATCTCGGAGCTGAGCAGCTCACTGCAGAGATCTTTCCAG